TTGGCAACTCATCCCAGCTCTCTGAGCCTCTACTTCATTGTTGGCCAAATAAGCGTGTTTATAACTTATGGTAAGGATTCAGTGCACTATGTAGGCACAGCTCCTGACGCCTAGTAGGATGCTCAGAAACCTCTGGCTCTGTGTTAGGGGGTTGTAGGGACATGAGTGAGCCATTCAAGATGTGTAGAGGTCACCCTTCTCCCCCAGAGAATGCAGGTACCCTGTTGCCAAATCTCCCCATTCTTTAAGAAAACCTGGGGATCTCAATCTGTGGAAATTTCCCAATCTTGAAATGTTGTCAACAAATTCTATATATTTTAAAAAGACTGGGTGGACCAAGCAAAACAGACCACCGCAGACCACTGGAGTGTGACTTCTGGTTTAAACCATAGAACAAGATGAAGCGCCTTACTCAACATTCAGTGAAGCTGAGCCCCACGCTTAGAAGTCTTTACACACATCATCCCATTGATTCCTTACAGTATCTCTTATGAGTCCCACTACACAGATGAAGAAACTGAGGCTCAGATTGAGAAAGAGATCTGGCAAGGCTAGAAACAAATACAGGCTTCCCGAGAACCTGACGTTCCACTTTAACCCCTCTCTAAATTCCTAGAAGGGAATTCAGGGAGCAAATGACAGCCCCAGAGAGGAGCTGGGAGCTGCCCAGGGCCACACAAACGTGCATGGCTAGCTGAGACTGATCAGGTTTCCTGCCCCTTCTTGGTCAGGGCACCAGGTGGACGGCTCAGAGCAGACGGCTGTGCAGATCCGTCCAGCCAAGCCCGAGATGACGCAGGCCATGGTGGCAGGAGAGGAACCCGCTGCTTTTTATCTCCCTGAACAGGGCATGTATAGGCTTAAAATGTTCTAGACCCCAGGCCTAGGCCCTCAGTTTCTCCACCTAAAAATCTGGGAAGTTGCTGGAAATCCCAGACACCCACTGGCCAGACACTCTGTTACTGGGTGCTCCTAAGATTGGGCTGGAGAACAGCCAACCACGTTGCTTTGGACCCATTCACCGAGAACTGGCGATAATTTAGACATGCTGTATGTGATTCTTTCTGATTAAAAACTTGGCCAGGTTTCCCTTCCTTGGTGAATTTTCTAGTAAGGAAGGATAACTCCCTCCAAAAACTGGGCCACGTGGAGAATTAAAGAATTGCTTTCTTCAACCAAAGAAAAGGAAACAACTAGGATGTATTCAGATTCCAATTTGTGTGAGGCACTCAACGCACTGGGCACAGAGAGGAGGTTCAGAGGGGGGGCCGCATCTCAGGCCTTGAGAACGGATAGCAACTTCCAGGAGGAATCTAGAGAAACTCTACGACCTTCCCCTTCTGGACCCAGGCATCAATCCTTACATGTGGGAAAACAAGGTAGGGGGCAATTCAACCCCCAGACCACCTGTGTCCACATCCTGGCTGTGCCACTTCCTAACTGCATGGCTGTAGGCAATTCATTTGATCCCTCTGTGCCTCAGTTTCCCCGCATGTAACATGAGAGTGCCTATGTCCCAGGGTTGGTGATACATCTTAAAGCACTTTAGGGCAGCCCCACCCCCCACCCCCCGCCCCGGTTTCACCACCTCTAAGTGGGAATAACAGTTTCTACTTCCAAGGCTGTTGGCCAGAATTAAATGAGTTAATATAAGCAAAGACTCTGGCTCCGTGGCCGGCACATTAGAAGCACCAGATACACGTTCACTCTTATTTTCTTGTGTGATTATATATGAAAGAGTTATTGACGAATGAACTTTCTCATTAATTTGTATGTAAATCTTTACAGTTAGACTGTTCTTGAAAGTTAGAAGAGCATTTCCTCAAAGACACTTTCACATTAAGACTTTCCACTGACTCAGACCAGAGGACTCCTCTCCCTTATCGCAATCAGGGCGGGCCTTCCTGGCCCGGGGCCTCCGTTCCAGCCCTCCTCGGCTCTGCTCCTTCCAGCTCATAGGACTCTCACGGCTCCATGTGTGTCTCCCAGCAGCCCCACAATAAGGAGAGTCAGGTAACGTTGTCCCCACCTGACAGATACAGACACGGGAGGTCCAGCAGCTCCCCCCAAGGTCGAGGGCACGTGCTGTGGGACAGAGGCTCAAGCCCAAACCCCTGAGTCCAGGCACACGACATGGCTCTGGAGTCCCGGCCCCCCCCCCCTTTTCCTTGGGCAGGTCATTTACTTCTCTAACCTTCATTTCCTCACCTGTAAAATGGGAACATAACAGTACCTACTTCCTAGATTTGCTGTGAGGATCGAACTAGTGACACCACGTAAAGCACTTTGAGCAATGCCTGCCATATGAGGACTCAACCTTTTAGCAGAACGAGGCATCTGAGTTTGCTGGGCACGGTCCTGCTTTATGCCTGACAACCAACCAGTTCTTCTAGTTAGAGTCCTGAGCACTCTCATAAATGTCCTGATTTGGGGAGTGGGCGGGGGCTGCCTGGGTGGCACAGTAGGTTAAGCGTCTGACTTTCGGTTTCGGCTCAGGTAGTGATCTCAGGGCCATAGGATCGAGCCCCGTGTTAGGCTCCATGTTCAGCACGGAGTCTGCTTCAGATTCTCTCTCCCTCCCCCACCGCCGCTCCCACTTGTGCTCTCTCTCTCTCTCTCTCTCTCTAAAAAATAAATAAAGAAATCTTTTTTTTTTAATTTCTTGGTCTGGAAGGAATGTACATGACCACCCTAAGATAATTTTGTCTGTTGCTCCTTATATCACAATCATTATTCTTATTCTTATTTCCCACCATACCACACTGAGACTCCAGGAAGCAAATATGTTGGCTCAAAATGGTTCAGGAATTCAGTTCCACCCTTAGGTGAGGGTGGCTCCTTCCCTGGGGACCCTGAACTCTGGTTCTCCAGCCAGGCTCTCATCACAGGGAGAGGACACCACGAGACCAAAAGGATGTGTCCACATGGGACCTGTGCCCCCTTCTCTAGATCACACTCTGGGTCCCCAGGCCCCGGGGATTCCCTGCCCAGACTGCCCTAAGCCCACTGCCAGGACCTGGGTGGGTCTCTTCTGCAGATCCATCCCGGGAGGACAGGCTGCCCCACAGGTATGCCCAGCTCTGCGCCTGAGGGGTGGCCAAGGCTCTGAGGGGGGAGGCGGTGTGTACCGGGCTTGCACGTGCTGGCTGAGATGTTCACATGTGCAGGGCAGGCCAGAGGCAGCTGTGGGAAGCAAGGGGTCTCCTCTCCCTGTAGCACCATGCTCCACGCAGGGTCCGAGGAGTCTGGGAATTCTGCATTCAAAGCTGGCCTTGCAGGTTGCTGTGAAAGTGTACTTGTCAAGGTAGGAGAATAGGACATATTTTATTTCACATTTTGTTAGCTTGATTTATAACTTGCAAATATTTAGACATATGGTACGTGAGCCTCCATCTGTACTCTTGCTCAGCCCCACAAATCCCCGCCACCTTCTGCCTACTCTCAACACCAAATGTTTACTGAGCCCTTCCTCTGTGCTGAGCCCCAGAGACTCCATGGAGGGAAGGGCACCATCCCAGCACCCAAACCATCCCAGCGTCCCATCCACCCGGGAGCAAACCTCATGCTCCTAAACAGTGAAGAGCACAGGGTCAGAGGTGGGGGCGGAGGCCTGGTCTGTGGCTCCCGCCCCCACCCCTAGTGAGGATGGGGCAGCTCCCTGCCCCTCTCTGGGCCTTGGTTTTCCCATTTAGAGGAAAGTCCTTCCAGCTCTGAGTAATGGGGGGCACAGGTTGAGGCAGGGTGAGGGACATAGAGTCAGATCCAGGACCTGGAGAGACCATGACCTGGGGATGGGCAAATAACTCTTACCAGGCACCATGGTGTGGAACTGAGCACTTTACCCTAGCAAGGTACCGGTCGCAGCCCCATGCCACTTCATTCATTCTCCCCACAAACACCGCAGCCACCCCCGCCGGGCCAGGCACTGAGCTCTCGGAATCTGCCAGATACGAGAGGATAAACAAAACAGGCGCACAGAAAACCGAAACGCAAAGCAAGACCTGGTGAGGGTGCTAAAAAGAGACCTTCCCTAAGCTCCTATCCTCGCGCTCTCCGGCTCTTATGTCCATTTCTCGGATGAGAAAACAGAGGCCCACAGACGTAAAGGGCTTGGTCAAGACCCTGCGGCTTAGAGCGCGCCCAGAGCCTGAGGCTAGCCAGAAACGAGGTTTCGGATTCCCGCAGTCTCCGGCCACTGTCCCAAGCTGCCCGAAAAGCTCGGGAGGCCCCGGCCAGCTCCCGGAAGGCTGGAGGGAGGTGAGCGCCAGGGAAAGGCTGGGCCAGAGGACGAGCCGGCCGGGAGGCAGGGAGGGGCCTGGCGGGGGACGGCCGGGTGGCTCCGGACTCCCGGGTGCGCAGCCCGGGTGCACAGCCCCGGGCGCCCGGAGCGCCAGCGGCTGGGTGCGCGCGAGTGGCAGCCGCGCTCGGGTCGGGCTCCGAGGCGCTGGCGGGGGGCGAGGCGGGGCGGCAAGGGCGGTGCTGCAGTGCCCGAAGCGGCGGGCTGGGGGAGCTGTGCCCGCCTGTCCCCAAGGCCCGGGCTGGGACCGGGCAGCTGGGTGGCCGCGCCTCTAGCCCGGCCGCGCTAGGCGGCGCGCAGTCAGGCGTGCCTGGAGCGGGCTCCGGCCCTCAGTCCTCCCGGGCGACCGGCCGGGGAGGCCCCCCGGAGAAGCCCAGTCCCGCGAGCCAGGGCGGCCCCTGCCGCAGTCGCTCCGGCCCGCCCCCGG